AGTATGGAGCTCATCCTTGGATATGAACTTACGGAGGCACGCTGCTTCTTGAGGGGGAGTCCTGCCAGCCTAGATCGTGAGATCCCCTGCACTTCTCCTCATTAGGCAGAAAGTGTCAGTTCATGTGTATTGCTTATCTTTAGCCTGTTTAACCTTCATGCATTTTTATTTCTAAATTGCTGCACACAATACCTTGAACAGGATGCCTTCTCTGAGACTTCTGCTACCCTGCTGTCTTGTAAACTCCTCAAACCATGTCTTTACTGCTAGGCATGCTGTAATATTGCAGGACTCTTGCAGTTACATTTTTGATTGAGTCAGGACTCCACCTCCTTCTCTAGCTGCCCAAAAGAGAAAATGAGAATCTGACACATTCTTGCAGTTATTGTGTTACACTGCAGAGTAGAATCATACTGAAGATTTTCTCTTTCTAATGCTTTTGTTTTCACTTTCCCCCTTCTCAGTCTACTCCCCCTTTCTACAAAATAAAAGAGATGACTGTACCAACTGCGGTGTGGACTGGTGGACAGGACTGGCTGGCAGACCCAAAGGATGTTGCTATGCTGCTCACTCAGATTACAAATTTGGCTTACCACAAAAACATTCCAGAATGGGAACATTTGGATTTCATCTGGGGCCTTGATGCACCTTACCGCATGTATAATGAAATAATTAATATGATTAGGAAGTATCTCTAAACTGACATGGTATTTCAGAGTATTACTTCACTAAGAATTTGTCTTTTTTTCTTTTTTTTGGAAGATACACTCTTCTGGCAATAATGCTACATTGTTTAGTATGATGCATTTTTAAAATGCCAGCAACGACAAGTGAATCGGATTCATATTGGGTTGGTTTTTTTCAGTATTATTTCTCTCTCCTCATCGTATTCTGCTGATTTTGCACACAGTGGCATGGTACTCAAAACACAGCAGTAGGACTTAGCACAAAAGGAGTATGTCATGTGCACATAAATTTAGTGACATGTCTGAAAGACAAGTTAGTCCATTCAGCACGTCAGCTGCTTGAAAATTATAACAATAAGTATTTCACTGTGCATAAAACACTGCCATTTCTCAGTACCTTTCACAAGTACTCCGTGCACTGCAGTGACCCATTTGGTGCTGGCACTTTACAAAGCACTTAGTGACTTTTGGCTGTGTTATTATTTTAGCCATCACATAAAAGCTAGCTACATCAGATTACTTTCTTTTTCAATATTCTGCCCAGAAGAACTGTCATGAAGCCAGAGATGACCACTGTCTGTTAAAATGTCCTATTTTGGGACTGATTCATTGCTGCATTTTCTTGATTTAATGGTGTCCCTGAAGCCTTTCATGTTTCACATACCAGCTATAGATACAGGTTGTTATTTGCCCTCACAGATTCCTAGAACAAGAGTAGTGGTTCAAAGAAAACCACTTTCAGTTAACTTTTTCAATAGGTTATGGCTTTCAAGGAGAATGACTTAACATATACTTGCATTTTGCACTGACCACTAACTAGAAAACAAACTCTTCCAGTAAACTACTGGTGGGAGAAGAGCCAAAGCATTAATTCTACAGCTTGAGTGGACTTTCCCCTTTAATCATGTGCTGCTTTGAAGATAATTTACTTCTTAACTGTTTATATGGTGCTCCCCACCAGTGTGTTCAGGAACTGTACAACAGCCTGGAGAAGTCTGACAGTATTAACAGCAGTTCCATTTGTCTCAGTTTCCACTTCAAACTGGGGCTAAGCCCCCATTTAATGGGGAAGAGGATTCACGTCTGCCTCAGAGTTCTTACTTTGGAGCTCTTTCTATTGACTGTGCAGAGGACTTTTGCTCCTCTGAAATGCCTAAAAGTTCCATGCCAAATGAACAATCTCCAGAGCTAGTTGCCTCAGTGCGAGTGATAGTTTCTGTGCCATGGTTGGATTTAACCCAGATTTCTGTCAGTAATCCCAACAGGATAAAGAGCCTTTCTACATGGTATAGGAAATTGTGCATTTTAAACTGAGCCACGCTTTTTTACTAAAAAAAAAAAAAAAGTTGAAAAAATATTCATAAGCCATAAATTAGGGCTTATTTGTTCAGATTTATTTTATTACTAATTCAGACTCAGGGAATTGTCAGGTGTTGTTTAAGGAAAAAGTGGTTCATTGGTTCAGGATATTTTGGTTGCAATTCCTAGCAGGACCTCTAAGTTTGCTTTATATTTGTATCAGCCAGATTTGCTTCACCTTGCTGTGCTGAAAGGAAGCTTCTGTAGGAATCCGACGTGGCTAACTTAGCCGTTGTGAGAGTATGTGATATGGCAAGAGCCATGTGCATCATGTTTATTAACCTTGAGATATTTCAATAAACATGAGACCTGCTTGGCATTTGCAGTGGTGTGGCGTGTTTCACTTCCTGTTTCATGAATGTATGTGAATCTTTGAGACAGAATCCAGAAAGCCAAATCTGTATTTCACAGCTTTTTGTCCGTAAAACAAGCACAATAAAAAGGTAAAATAGCCAAGTAAGCTTCATTTTACTTTTTCCTTGAAAGAATTTTTTCCCAAACCAAACCTAAAAGGCCATTCTTGTTGTTTTGCAAGACTTTAAGTAAGGTACTACTTGTAAATAATTGCTCACAAGACAGAGTAATTTTCTAAGCCTCCAGGTGAGGCTTCTTTCAAACCACTGACAGGGTGGAAAGCTTCTTGTATCACATTCTTAAACCTTGGGTAATTGGATTGCTTAACAGGCTGTCTGGTAATCTCATAAATAGCATATAACCCCACAGTAAGTTGGGGAACTAATCTTTGCCATGGCACACCTGAACCAGCTTTTGAGCTTTGTCACCTTCACCTACAATAATAAATATGCTGAGTCTATACTGTTCTGTATGTTCTGAATACTATAGTTGTGCAGTCAAGACAGTGGAGTGTATTAAATCCTACATGTTGCCACCTTTGTCAGCTGATGCGCCTGGAAATAAAAGCCATTGTGGAGCTTCTCTCCCTCACTGGAGCGGGGATGGTTATGAAAATTGTGAGCTGCTGTGCTCTCCCTGGCTGGCTAAAGTGACAAGCACTGTGTGACACAAGGTTGCAGAGGTGTCAGTGGAAAGAAATGTGCAAAATAAAACACCTTGAACACAGAGGAGAAGAGCAAGAAGCTTGATCTAATAAGAATCAGCAGTGGTGGATGGTACATTTTTCTAAGCAGATCTTACATACTTAGTGCTTGTTTTATAAACATCTGTGTTACAGGTGTGTGTATATATATGATGTTGAAGGTTGGCTGGACATCAGCTTTGGATAATATAAAAGTGCACCAGCTTAGTAGAGGGCACTGGACGCCTTCATCTAACTTGGTCTTAGAACTTAGTGATATGATCAAACTTTACTAGAAAGCCAGAAGAAAGTAGTCCCTGTTCAGCTGATGCACAGACCTGTGTGCATCTGAAGACAATACACAGTCCAGGGCTTTGACTTAGAGATGACAACAATTGGACCTGTGAGGGCTAACACAGATGTAAAGACATGTTTTTGTCCTCATGTTTGTGCTTGGAATTTGAAAAGAATTTTTTTGTAGTCATCTGCAAGTACATTCACACTGTTCATTTCATGCAGAAGGCCTAAGATGGTGGAGTGTGTGTATGTTAATGGAGTGTACTGAGTGATGCACTAGCTCCAGGCTGACTATTTTTAGGCTGATTAGTGATTCCATGGCTAGTGATAACGCCAACAAAAGTTTACATGCATCAACTTGAGCAACGTAGAAGTGCCTCAGCATAGGAAGAGGTGGTAAAACAGAGTTAAGCTTAGCTGGGGAGGTGGAGATTAAGAATTTGTTGAAGACAACGGGTTAGTTCTGTTGAGAAAAGTATTTTGTGTTTAGGCTAAAGTTTTTAATCAAAACTGAAAGGGGAATATGTGTTCTTCATCCTCAAATTCTTGGCATTCCCCACAGGCTCAGGTTTCAAGCTGCTTGCCTGGGATGTGAGGAGTCTCATGTCCCTTCTTTGTATCCAGATCCTGCACTTGAATATAAGGAACAACTAAATAGAAGGGGGCTATAGGTTAGAATCATAGAATCATTTAGGTTGGAAAAGACCTCTAAGATCGTTGAGTCCAACCCATGAAAAAGCTTAAAAGTGGTAAATATGCCAAGCTCCTCTTTCCCTGCAAACCCGTACTCCTATAAGGCCGTGCCTACCGCGTTTTGTCCTGCTGCAAAGCAGCCTACAGTTTGTTACCGCCGGACGTTTGGCCGAAGGATGTGTCCCGGTGTGCCCGCTGTACCCGCTGTGCCCGCTATACCCACTGTGCCCGGTGTTCCCGCTGTTCCCGCTGACGTGCCCGGTGTTCCCGCTGTGCCCGCTGTGCCCGGCTGTTCCCGGTGTTCCCGCTGTGCCTGCGTTGCCCTCTGTTCCGCTGTTCCCGGGGCTTGTGCCCGCTGTTCCCGCTGTTCCCGGTGTTCCCCTGTTCCCCGCTGCTTCCCGCTGTTCCCGCTGTTCCCGGTGTCCGCCTGTGCCCGCTGTACCGCTGTGCCCGCTGTGCCCGCTGTTCCCGCTGTTCCCGTGTTTCCCGCTCCCGGTGTTCCCGCTGTTCCCACTGTGCCCGCTGTTCCCGCTGTTGCCCGCCCTTGCCCGCTGTTCCCGCTGTGCCCGTGTGTTCCCGCTGTTCCCGGTGTTCCGCTGTTCCGCTGTTCCGGTGTTCCCGCTGTGCCCGTGTTCCCGCTGTTCCCACTGTGCCCGCTGTTCCCGTGTTCCGCTGTGCCGCTGTTCCGCTGTTCCCGGTGCTTCCCCTGTGCCCGGTGTGCCCGCTGTTCCCGCTGTGCCCGCGTTCCTCTGTTCCCGCTGTTCCGGTTCCCTGTGCCGAGGGGGAAGCCGGCGGGGGGCGCGGCTGCCGCGGTTGCCCTGGGGGGCGCTGTTGCGCGGAGCGCCGCGCGGGGGGCCGCGGGACCCGCCCCCGGAGCCGCCGCCGCTCCGCGATTCGTCCCGAGCTCCGGCCCCGGGATCAGGTGAGTGGCGGTGTGAGCACCTCGGGCTGACCGTGCGTGCCCAGCATGGCAACGATTCCCTCTAAAACGAGAGCAGGGGACTGCCGCTGCCTTCCTCTGCTCTGGTGGCTGTCCTGCTTCCCTGGTACTGGTCCTGAGCAAGGTACCATCCCTCTTCCCCAGCACCCTTTTCCCGCTAGAAGGCTCAGCATGCACTGCGATGTTGCCTTACTTCTGGTACAACAACAATCCTACCATACAGAGGGGGAGAAGAGGAGGAAAGAAAAAGAATTTTTCCCTCTGCTGCTATATTAATTTCAGTATGTTGATTCCAGTTTTCTAATTTTCTGCTAACTTCTCCTCATTTTCCTACCCACGGTAGTATTTGACTTTACCTTGTAGCTTGTACCTAACAGTGCAGCCTGGGGTAGGTGCTTGCGTCTTGCGCTCATGTGGAATCTATTTAAGACCCTTTGTGGGGCCTCATTCCAAACTATGTGCCCTTCAACCTAAACTCTGTAGCAGGAGTCTCGAGCTTTTGAGAGAACCATTTAGATTCTTGTAACACATGGGAAAGTTTGGCAGCATTGTAAGTTGAGTGAAAAAAGCTGGGGTTGTGTTGCTGAATTAGGTACGGAAAGGATCTGTGTGTACTGGGTCTTTTCTTCGCGTTGTTCCTTACGCTGACCAAGAAACTGAAGTGAGCGAAACGGAGATGTGTCATAAGTGCATTTTGGTGGCCGAGCCAAACGGCTTGGACACGGTTTGTGGAGGATGAGGGTTTGCCCTCTCTCATGCGTGAGGATTCATTCTCCCGAGCGCAGCCGCTCGGTGAGCGGAGCCGGGATCCCAGCGGGGGGGGCCATGCGGCGGAGCCCATTCCCGCGGGGCCCATCCCCGCGGGGCCCATTCCCGTGGCGAAGCCCATTGCCGCGGGGCCAGGTTCGGTGCGGCCCCGGCTCTGGGCGGCGCCAGCCTCCCAGGTAAGTGCTGCTCTCTTGCGCCTTGCTTGGGATTTGTGTTGCAGGATATACTAGTAACAGGACTGCAGAACTCCGTTATTCTTCCTTAAGGGACCTCAGAATATTTTTCTATGACCTAAACTGCAGGCAAAATGCCTATTCTTTAAAATTTAGTTTGTAGGTGGCAGTGGTTCTAAAACCTGACATGGCTGTAGGGATTAGTCAGGGGAGTGTCTTTAAGATAGTTGAGCAACTACTGTCAATCTCCCTTTAGGCAGACATGGAATACCATATAGAATAAATTTAGTCCCTTCATAATTCTAATGAAATAGAGAATCATGTATCCCACCTGGGAAACTTAATTTCTGATTGTAGCTATATAAATCAACAGAAATCACATGAATATTCTCACACCCAGATGATGATTATGTTACAAATGCATTTTTCATGTCCTTATTGTGAAATAGAGATCAGGATAAAATACAGTCAGAAGATTGATATTAAGCTCTTGGTTATAGATCCTCATCTGTTAGATTGGTGTCTCTTAATGGGTTTTAATTTCACTACAATTAGTAGTCTGAATTAATTGAATTCAACAAAACAGTTTCACAATAGCAAAGAATCTGAATTTATTTCCAAAATGTATGTGGGACAGGTAGACCTGTCTCCAACAAAGAAATTCTGATTGCCTGAATAATAGCACAGCTAATGTTACTATTTCAGCAAACCCCTCAAAGCCTAAGGAAAGAGCAAAATCTTCCTTAAGAGCAGAATCTACTGAAGAGAAAATGGTTGAGACTGAGAGCAAACTTAAGTGTTACAAGTTCATGCATATTTAGAAAAGCTCACTGCTAATTAATAATTCTTAATTATCGAGAAGCAAGGAAAATCTGTCTCCCATTTCCCCCATCAGATTTCTTTTTTGATTAGCAAAGAGCTAAAATCATCGGAACAAGCTAATAAAGTCATCCAGGAAGTTGAGCTCATTTCCAACAGCAGAATAAATTCTGTACCTACAAAAGAAGTGAGTTCATAGGAAGCTGATGGCAAGCTTTGTTTCCCTAAGTGTTCAAAGCTTTGTTTTTCTTTTTCTAAAAGCACAAAAGAAGTGATGTCTTAGTGGTTAAATCAAAACCTCCATCATTTACCCCTAAAATATTTTTAGCAAATTAGAAAAGTTGGGAGTCAAGCCTGCTAGTTTCTGTCTGCAATGTGCTTGCCTGTGGTCACAGGGAGATCCTTTAAAGGATATAGGTCTAACTGGTGCACCTTTTAATTGCTTACATTAGTTTGATACTTGGGTAATGGATGATTTCTATATCATCAATCTCAAAGACCTGTGGAGTTGTGGAGTGAATCTTGTAATAATGCAATAATAGTTGTCACTAGGTATCTGTCTGGAAGCATAGTGAGGTGTTACCTTGTATTGTTCTCCAAAGCAGGGAGATACTTTGTTCTTCAAAAGTTGTTAGCTCAATTTTGCATCTACTCTAAAATTTTTCCATATCAAGTACAAGTGCATGAAGGAGAACATGGCCTCAAAAGTAGGTGGAGATAAGTCACAGCCACCACATTCAGACTGGGAACATAGTGTAGGTCTCCTTAAGGTTCTGACTAAGCCTGTTGTATAACCAAGGGATCATTAAGAAAACATGTATTTGCACACATCCATTACTGACCACATGACCGACAAGTCAGACCAGGTGCTTAGGTACCCATACATCTTTGGTAGCAGTCACATATTAAAAAAAAAAGCTGATTTGTATTTCCTTACCTATAAAGGCAAAAAGATAACGAAGGATGATGACACAGTTTAAAATTAGTAACAAACAGCAATTTTTCAAGTGTCTGCACTAAGTGGAGTGTTTTCCATCCCTTTTTCTTTGAATTCCATTGTTAGGAGTTCTCCACTTCTGCTTGTGTTTCCTACTTTGCGAGTCTCTCGTAGAGCTCTGCGATTACTTTGCCCAGCTAATTCTGCTCTGAGATTGTAATGCATTATATCATCTCTATACAGGAAAGGAACTTCCTCTTTAAAGCGGCACGTTACTATGTAAGGAGGATTTCTGATGGGGCGGAGCTATTTCTTGAGCAGATAAAGGCTGCGGGATTAACAGCCCTCTCAGACTGCGATCAGCATGAACTGCAGCCTGCCAGACGGAGCGCTGCTCCACTACACGATGGAGGGACGGCGGCACAGGCTGTGCCTACAGTCTCTTTGGGACTTTGTCGCAGCAAAGGAGCCATTGATCAAGTCACCATTTTTTCCAGTGCTGTTTTCTTTTACAGCATACATGGCTTTCTGTCTTCCGTATATTGCACTGGACTTCTTAAGCATTAGACTACCAAACTTGAGAAAATACAAAATCCAGCCGCAGAACTATCCAACGCTTGGAATGATGGTGCCTTGCATTATTCAAAGTGTGTATCACCATGTTATGTTGATCTTCCCAGTGACATTTCTCCACTGGTATTGGAGACCAATGAATCTACCAGTGATAGCTCCAGCGCTGCCTGAGGTCCTGCTGCAAGTAACAGTTTGCCTGCTGCTATTTGATTTTGAATATTTCCTGTGGCATTTGCTTCATCACAGGGTGCCTTGGCTCTACAAGACCTTCCACAAGGTGCATCACAAGCACGTGTCGACGTTTGCCCTTACTACACAGTATTCCAGTGTATGGGAGTTACTCTCACTGGGATTTTTTGCTGCTATTAACCCACTGCTCCTTGGATGCCATCCTTTGACAGAAATGATTTTCTTCCTTGTAAACATTTTTCTGTCAGTAGAGGACCATTCAGGATATGACCTTCCATGGTCAACTCACCGACTTGTACCTTTTGGTTTGTATGGAGGAGCACCACATCATGATCTCCACCATCTGAAATTCAAATCAAACTATGCTCCTTATTTCACACACTGGGACAAACTCTTCGGGACATTCACCAAGTCACATTCTAATTAAGAATGGACAAACTCATATTTTTTATAGACTGAACTGGGACATTATTTTTTTAAAGACCTACAGAAGATTGTATATTTGAATCTACCTGTTAAAGCAATAGCTATTTATAACAAAGCCTCTTAATATATGTGTATTTGTATGTGTACTTGGAACTGCCTGTGTTAAATGACTGCAAATGGGGAGGTGAATATGTGTTGCTTAAATTTGAGTCAAAGGTTTAAGGGAAGCATTAAGAGACATTCTCTCTTTTTTCCTTCTTTCCGGCTTTCATAAAGCATGTATCATATTACTGTATGATGTTTTATACATACGCCAGAACAATTATCTTACTGTTGTAGGATGATTTATGATGTAAACAGAAAAGGTACACATCATGGATTTTTGTAGAGTTTAATCTGCCAGAGCATATTATTGCGCAATGATATTGTAAAATATTGCTGCCAAACCAGGGTAGTTGGCTAACTGTGCAATAATTTTCATATTTATATTTTCAACCTTTATGTACTGTCTGTTTTTAATAGAAAATAAATATGGTCATTCTTTTAAAATCATATTATGTTTCATTTTATTCATTCCTCTATTCATATTAGGAACATGTATGATTCCTTTTGTATAGGTGTCATTTATTTGAATTCTAGACTTACAGAATTGTTTAGGTTGGAAAAGACCTCTAAGATCTAGTCCAACCATTACCCTAACTCTGCCAAGTCCACCACTAAACCATGTCCCTGAGTACCACATTTACACACCCTTGAAATATCTCCAGGGATGGTTAGTGAGCCACTTCCCTGGGCAGCCTGTTCTAATGCTTGACAACCCTTTTGGTGAAGAAGTTTTTCTTAATATCCAATCTAAACTTGCCCCACCACAACTTGAAGCCATTTCCTCTTGTCCTTTCCCTTGTTACCTGGGAAAAGAGACTGACATCCACTTCAATTTCAGAGCTGCAGACTCTTATTATTAAAGTATTGTAATATTATTTCAAAAGTAAACCATTTACTTTTTCTCCAGAGTCATGTTATTTTAAAATAGTTTTTGATTTTGTAGAAACGTGATATTGAAGAATGCAGTTTAAAAAGCAGTGGTGAAATTTTATTATTACATTTTCGAGAAGCTTGTGTAATTTTCACTAAATTTATGGTGTGAAAACAAAACATTAAGCAGCCTCTAAATAAAAGGGAGCATTGGTCCTTCACAATCACATCAATTAATTGTTACTTGCATGCAAAAACCTACCAAGGAATATAAACAGGGTTTCTACAAAGTAGATGATTCCTTCAACCAGATTTCAGAGGAATAGAATCAAACCTTTCAGGATCCTAAGCCATAGAACAAAGTGACTACATGTTGCTAGAAGAGCAGTTATATGTAGAAGATCAAAATGCAGTCTCACAGAAGTCACACTGGAAAAATTAAGAGTGAAGAGATAAGCAAGTCTTTAATGTCTCATTCAGCAGAAAAAAACATGGACTTCTAATGTCTCCTACATAACATTTTCATGCTTATAGTCATCTATCCTGTATTACTAATAAACTTCTCAGAGTAATGATGCAAACAGAGAAAGTGCAAATAATGTAGAAAGTGTGTAAAGAACACTTACACATCATCGTCCAAAAATGTCTTTGTCCTCATGTCTAGAGGGTTGTGTGACCTTACAGAGGCTGTTTGTCCAGGAGAAGAGAGAACCCTTAGTATTTCCAATGATGTGATTTTATAAAAGGAACGTCATTTTTGGACAGTGTGTCTTTTTGATAGCAGGAAATAATTTTCATAAGCATCTTCATAAACAGTACAAAATGCTGCAATCCCTGTACTTAACTACTCCCTCTGCTCTCTGGATATCATAGGAGAGCAACCTTTCTTTTCCCTGGTAAGAACATGACACATATTGAGAGCAAAAACTGAGCCTTAAAAGAGTACAAAACTGGAATCTTTGCCATTTATTCAGCTGTAAGAAGGAATTCCCAGTCTTTCTGATGATTGTAACCTGAAGTATTTTGGTGTTTTCTACAAAGAGAGGGAAATATTCTTTCTTTTCGGCCAAAAACACAAAGCAAAATACATTTTCTGATTTCTTTGAGCTGTTCAGCCATTTTGAGGTATCCCAAAATTATCCTTTCAGTTCTAGAAATCCCATTTAATTCAGCTTGGCAAATACTGAGCATCTGATGGGGATAATCTGCGGTTTCAATGAGTTATACCTTATACCATATATTGTAACTGTACACTTTAACAGTCTGTTTCATGTACTATTGGCTCTCTAAGTAAGCAAGGTTAAGGCTAACTGGTACTTTGCTACATTGCTATAGGAAGCCTATGAGCAAAACCCACAAGAAAGGTTGTAACTGAATCCATGGGGATTATTCTACTTTTTGTATGAAGCTTAAGAGTCGATATAATAAATAGTTTACTCCTGGAGAGAGTTCTAGTCAGCTGCAGGCAAAACTGTGCTTGCTCTTGTCAAGTCAAGTGAAATGATAGTCTCGTTTGGCATTGACTGCGCGGTGTAACAGCACTGAGGATGATCAAACTGACAAGGGAAGCAGTCAATCCTGCCTGCTCTTCTCTCCCTCACATCCTCAACAGTTGTGTGACTTCAGACACACACCAAGAATGCATTTCCTCAGATATGGAATTTCCCCCAGATTATATCTGTACCTAACCTCTAGCCAAAGGCTCATTATTGCAGCAATTTGGAATACTAAAAAAAAAAAAAAAAAAAAAAAAAAGTTGTCAAATGAAAATTTGGCTAATATATGTCTGAAATGGCTTTTTTGAATCCCATGCTAAAAACATTTTCTGTACTTCATCATAATGACATAATCTTAGCACACCTTGTCCTATTTCTCCAATGCTTTTGAAGGTAATTTAAGTTCTAAACTCTAAGGGATTGAATCCATTTGCATATTGTGTATACTTTGAAGTGCTTTCTGTAACAGTGAACTATAATCTAAGTTTAGCTGGGTGTATGAGAAAAACTCATGACCCAAAGAAGACCCAAATAAACATGTAACTTCAGATCTTTGCAATTCAATGAAAAGCAAAATGTAGACAAAAATATATACTGAAGATAAATCAAATAAGGGTTGTTTTTTTTCCTGTTTTCATTGAAAATTCAGCATATATTGTGCCGCGGAGTGTGAGAGAACAGCAAGTTCTGTGTATTGATAGTGCTGAGACTTGAAAATAGGATTTTACAGATGTTACTTCCTATATTTGCATTTCCCCATGGTTTTTACCACAAGTCTTTACCAGACAAATGGAAAGGCATGACACTCTCTTGTAAGGGTTTATGTAAGAAAACCAAAACCAACTTTCTCTCTTCTGTTCCAAAATTCGCCTAGTTTCCTTCCTCATTATGATGTGACATGATGTGCCACAGAGACTTCCTATCTAATCTGCCAAAAGCTAACTAGTGGTCATTGTGAGTAAATAGAGGGTGTTTGCAGAGACCCTTGAAGCTATAAAATGAGATTTTTTTGATGCTGCCATTGTCGCTTTATATCTTAAAATGTAATAAAGCTAAAGGAATAAGATTTTATGCATTTCTCTTTGTAAGTGTGTCTTAGTTCTTAGGCACATGGTTAAATATTGAACACTTTGTCTGAACTTATGAATTGCAGGAATTCCCAAACTCTCACTGACAATTACTACTATAATTCTTCTGAAATTTAGGCTGAGTCTTTCAAATGATACCCACTTCAGCAATTTTGTATCCACCACTGCAAAGGGACAGGTTTTTACTTAGTGGGTGTGTTCTCAACACCTCTGGAAAGTGGGCTCCACAGGTGCTTTGGAGTGAGTGTATGATGTTTATAACCATGCTGAGTCAATATTCAGCTCTGGAAAAAGCTTGGTTCTCTCTCACGTTGAGCAAGTGCAAGTACTTTACAGGGGAAAACCAACACAGTCTACAGTCTGTAAGTATGATTTCTTATGACTTTTAATGATTTGAAAAATAACCTATATCATTAATGGATTTAGTGGCTCGGTTAATTTAGTGTGTTATCTGCATTAAATGAAAAAATAGCATATCTTTGGGCTATGCTATCTCTAAATTAGTTTTGAAGTAATTTGTAATGACTGAACACTTAATTGTCATCTGTTGCCCCTTCATATCATTGGAAGGAGTGAATAACTCTGATGTGGCTTTATCTGAGTGGACTGAGCAGTCACTTCAGCAGTTTTACTTAATCTTGCTTTCATACACAAGTATTAAGCTTCTGTATTACCTGCCTACAGCCATGCAACCCTTTTAGAACCAGTTATGGTTCTGTAGCTGAAAAAATCAGCCACCTTGGACAGTCTCAAAATATGAACCCCCACTGGATTTACTCACAGATTTCCTTGGAGGAGAAACTAATCAGTGCAAACTGACTATCACATTTACATGTAAACTGCTTCAAAGACCCTGGCATTGTGTGCTCAAATATTTACCCTGGGCCTGCATTGCTCAGTACAATCCAACCTGAAGGGTCTTTGTAGCACAGTCTGGAGTTGTGTTTACAGCATGGTTTTCTTGTAAAAGCAGCTGCCAAACAATTGTTTTCCAAAACTTAAATGTGTTTCTGATTCATGGAAATTTGAAGTTGTTCACAGAAAAAAAGCCCCATGTCCAACCCCCCAAACCAATCAACATAAGCATTCCAGACTTTAAATGAAACAGGACCAATGCAAAGGGCCCTTTAGCTGTGGAAAATGATGTTGAGATTTTAATCCTTCTTTTCAGACTTTCTTCTTCTTAAAGATTTCAGTCTGTTGAGAGAGACTTCAACAGTACAGATATATGATTCAGAGTGATGTGGAAGGATGTACTACCTATACTTCCAGGGAGAATTTAGATGGCAGGTATTTTTATTTGTCCTCAGAAGAAAGCAGCAAACAACTCAGGGGATTAAGTAGTCCAAAGCCTAGGATGAGCTATAGAAATCTCATTTTAAGGTGAGCAAGAGGTACCGTCTTTATCAAAAGATTATAAAAAAGCACTGCTCGAAATTGTGTTTATGTCTGTTTACACACCTCTTCAGTCATTCACACCAGCTGTGGAAAATTATACCCTAAGAACATGGGTAGTTTACAGCCCTTTTAAGGGATTTATTTACAAAACTTCCGGAGCTAGCCTTAATAGCTGAGACAATGGAATTTGTCAAGCTATCAAGACAAACTAACATGGGAAATATGTATGTGCTAAGCACTGGAATGATTTAATTCTGCACAAGCATGCTCCTCTGACACTTGCAGCTTACAAAGTGTGCAGGATCAGAGATGGCCTGCTCAGTTGAGCTTACAGAAAAACCAAATGCCTACCAGCTGACTTCCCTCTGTTTTTATCCTTGCAGTCTTCTCCACTGGTATTCTCTTTTCCTGGTAACCCCAAAATACTTCTCCTGAGCAGCTGCTGAGAACCTCCCCTAAGGACACTGGCCAAGTCCTGCTTTGCCAAGTTTGCCATGTTTTATCCCATGTATCACTCCCAGGTGCCTGCATCAGTTGAGAACCTGTAACACATTGCATGCACAAGTCCTGCTGCAAATTGA